ATTCATTGTGGGCCGCGAATTTGACATGCTTACTCTAGTGGCTATTGGGAAGATGTCCTTTGCAGGGTTAAAAATAGCCACTGCACCCAGACTGACTGATTTCAATAAAGTGTCCTTAACATCAGTTCAGCTTCCCAAACAAGGAGATTTAGAATTCTGCTCCTGTGTTTTATACCACTTGAAATTAGAAGATTTTTTTTTGTTTTCTTATTTTAAGTTGTGACATCTTAAATTGCTAAATTGCTTTTTTATTCTGACGTACATTTCTGTCTTTCAGTTCAGAAGATAAAGTCACGGTGAAATTTATTAATCGTGATGGAAATACCATTGTTGCAGATGGAAAAGTTGGAGAGTCGCTCCTTGACCTTGTTGTAGAAAAAAATCTGGACATTGATGGTTTTGGTGAGATATCTTTGTTTTCTTTTTTGCCACACAATGATACAGAAGTATAAGGAAGAATGAGCCAGTGCTTTCCTATGGGGAATGTGAAGAATATGGACGTCCTCATGCAAAGTGTGAAGACTAAGGTCTAGTGTCGTTTCAAGGAGTTAAACTCTGTGAAACTGCAGGATGCACCTCTGGTGGACAGTCACTAGAGTATCTTAACCCTGCAATATGACATGTGCATACACACATATACAGTTTCTATCAGTAAGATGAAGTGGTCTGGGTGCATATAATGCAGGGCTTGACAAATAGGAGCCAGTTTTTCTTTAAACTAACAAAGTTTCATTTCAACACAAAAAATGCAATTCTTAAAGGTAAACTGTAGTCACTAGAACCACTACAGCTTAATGTAGTTGTTCTGGTGTCTATAGCCTGTCCCTGCAGGCTTTTCAATGAATACACTGACTTTTCAGAGAAAAGGCATTGTTTATATTGCTGCCTTGTAACACCTCTAGCGGCAGTCAAACAGATGGCCACATATTCTACATGGAGGCACTGAGTATTACCCATAGAGATGCAATGCTTCAATACATCTCTCTCAGAAGATGTTGATTGGTGCAGCGCAGTGTTTTGCTGAGGGTAAAGCATTGACCTAGCTGAGATCATAAAGACTGATCTCCGTCATGGAGGTTGGACTAGCTGGGGCAAAACACACAGCATAGCAAAAAAGCGGAGTCAAAACACCCTTCTCATGTGATCTGCGGGGGGCATGTACCTAAACACACACGCTCTGACGGGCGTGAGAGTACGGTCTGTCCCTGACTCTCTCTCACACACATCAACACACATTTTCTCTCTCTCACACACACTTCCATTTTTATTTTAATTTTAGCCCTCCCAGCCTCCCTACTATTGGGAGAGTTGGGTGGGTCTTTCCCTGGGGTCCAGTGGAGCTACTCTCTGATCTTTCTGCCGTTCCTCTCTGCTTCCTTGCGCACTCTCTGTAGTGTTACCGGGCTAGAGTGATGTCATATTCCTGCTCCCGGCATCACTAAAGCCCTGCTATTGTGTCCTTTAACCCCTTAGTGACCTCGGACATATTGGGTACGTCCGCGGCTAATTGAAGCGCTAATTAGAATAAAAACTATAGTAATCAAAAAAGCCATAAATACTTTTTCCTGGGTAAGCAACAACATTCAGTGCACTTCATGGTTTTTCCATTTAATATTTATTTTATTTAGGGTCCTCTTATCTGATTGTATGTTACAAGATCCTTCTCATTAATTTTTAAAAAGGTAAATAATTTTTAATCGTGTGCACTTTAACATTTTTTAGTTGTTTTGTGTGTGTGTGTGTGTGTGTGTGTGTGTGTATATCTTATATATAATGTTATACTAAGTGATTTTTATATTAATATAAAAATACACTTAGAGTAAAATTACACACACGTGTGTGTGTGTGTGTGTGTGTATGTGTGTGTGTATATAATATATATATATTTTCTACGTGCATATTTATGTAATGTTTTTACATAATGAAGTAATTTTATTGATTGCAATTTGGGGGACCTACCTGACAATCCAGGCAGAAAGACCAGAGAATTTAATTTCAAAACGGTAAAACATATCACAGCGGTGATATTGTCAGTGATAGTGACGTTTTTTTTGCATTTTTCACACACAAATGGCACTTTCACTGATGATATTGTTGTGATACGTTTTACTGTTTTGAAACACTAATATTTGTGTTCACTGAAGTCTCCCGAGTAAAACAGTATCCCCCATGTACAGATTTTAGAGTTTTGAAAGTTGCAGGGTCAAATCTAAGGCTTGTGTGTTTTTTGTTTTTTTTTAATTTGCCAGATTGGTTATGTTGCCTTTGAGAGCGTATGGTAGCCCAGGAATGAGAATTACCCCCATGATGGCATACCACTTGCAAAAGAAGACAACCCAAGTTATTGCAAATGGGGTATGTCCAATCTTTTTTAGTAGCCACTTAGTCACAAACACTGGCCAAAGTTGGCGTTTATAATAGTTTTTTGCATTTTTAACACACAAAATAATAAATACTAATTTTGGCCAGTGTTTGTTACTAAATGGCTACTAAAGCCATGTATGTGTGTATGTATATATAATTTAATTTTTTTTTTTTTTTTTAAAGCTAGAATTTCTCGCTCTTATGTATTAGTCTACATTCTTTAGATCTGTATGATTGCTGAAAGCCAGGTGACATTTATTGAAACATACAACATCCTGGTATTTATATTCTGTGTCTCTGGATTATTTTATTGAATGTCCTGACTTTCCTTCCTTTTCAGGTGCTTGTGAAGGTACTCTGGCTTGCTCTACTTGTCACCTCATTTTTGAAGATCCTGTATTCCAGCAGTTGGACACTGTTACTGATGAAGAAATGGATATGCTGGACCTTGCCTACGGACTGACGGAAACGTAAGATCGCTTTCATTGCCCATTCAATAATGCTGTCAATCTCTATGTAGAATATTCTCATAATGTGTTTCAGTTGTGTTGACACCAGTCTGTTGAACTTGTTTTGTTTGACCTGGAAAGCCTCTTTAACCCCTTAAGGACACATGACATGTGTGACATGTCATGATTCCCTTTTATTCCAGAAGTTTGGTCCTTAAGGGGTTAAAGGACCACTCTAGGCACCCAGACCACTTCAGCTTAATGAAGAGGTCTGGGTGCCAGGTCCCTCTAGGACTAACCCTTTTTTTTTTTTTTTTTTATAAACATAGCAGTTTAGTATGTTTATGTTAGGGTTAATCCAGCCTCCAAATTCTCTAGTGGCTGTCTCATTGACAGCTGCTAGAGGCGCTTGCGTGATTCTCACTGTGAAAATCAGTGAGAACACGCAAGCGTCCATAGGAAAGCATTGTAAATGCTTTCCTATGAGACCGGCTGAATGTGCGCGCAGCTCTTGCCGTGCGTGCGCATTCAGCCGAAAGGGAGAGGAGGAGGAGAGCTCCCTGTCCGGCGCTGGAAAAAAGGTAAGTTTTAACCCTTTCCTCCCCCAGAGCCGGGCGGGAGGGGGACCCTGAGGGTGGGGGCACCCTCAGGGCACTATAGTGGTTCTTTAAACACTTTCTTTGTCTGACATCCCCCTCCTAATTCCTTTACTCCTCCGGATTTTGAAAACCAACATTGTAAATTGAATTAAAAAAATAACAATCCATAAGTCATATATACTTAGCTGTTGAAAGGAGTACATAATACTGTATAAAATGGGAAAATATGGCTTAAAACTTATGATGGTTTATATTATGAAGTGTCAAGTATTTTAGAACCTAGGATTGTTTAGGTCAAATTTGCAGCATTAATTTGACCCATACAAATATGGTTACATTTATTGCTGCTGGAAAGTGTCATTGGTAGCTGTCCTACTCAACCTGGATTTCTTGGAAATTAGTCTAAATTGAATTTGCTAAACGCGATCTGCAAATTACGCTTGATTAATGTTGGAATTCACGACCTGCTCTTAGTATTAAATATGCGTTACTTCTGGATGCACACACTGCTGGGTAAAGTAAACAGAACAAGGATTCACAAAATCCCCCTAATAAGCGGAAAGAGCCAAGATTGTGTTCATCACTGTAACTTCCTACCAACAAATGAGCTGCAATTGAGGTAATCTTATCGTTTGCATACTCTGCTACTTCTAATGTATTAGTGAATTTCTAAGAGTCCTAAAGAAACCAAATATTTTTCCCTTTTTATATTCTGTATTTTTTATTTTTTTGCCACGTGCAGCCCATACAGGGTCGGGGTGGGGGGTGGGGGAGGGAGTTTATAGATCATGTTCCTGTACTCACCGCTCAATTCTCTGCCATTTAGGGGTTAAATCACTTTGTTTATAAAGACTTAGTCACACTTCCCTGCATGTGACTTGCAAAGCATTCCTAAACACTTCCTGTAAAGACATCTAATGTTTATACTTCCTTTATTGCACACTCTGTTTTAATTTAGACTTAATCTTCTGCTTGGTTAATAGCCTTCTAGACCCTGTAAAAGCCACCTGTGTGATTCAAGTTCAGTTTACAGAGCAGGAGATAAGAGTCTAAACCAAGTTAACATCTGATTGGAAATGAAACCATTTTTTTCACGTGTCACAGTCAGGGAATGTGGGGCTATGACTGCATAAACAGAAACACAGGTGGTTTAACTCCTAAATGGCAGAGAACTGAACAGTGAGACTGCAGAGGCATGATCTATACACCAAACCGGCTTCAGTAAGCTGAAGTCCGTTAAATATCTAGAGTATGTCACTCTGGAGTCTAATTATTCAAACTATAAATTATTTTGAATTTAGATAAAAATATACTTGGGAAATTCTCTAACTTGTCCATGGGCAGAGATTGGCTATTTTAACCTACATTTTGCAATATTTCCATTTCACAACAATGTGGTGTTTAATCATTAAATCCTTCTGTGTAATGATGGCATTCCGTGTTCCTGGAATGTCATTCTACACATGTGATTGACCTATATCTCAGTCCTTGCTACTGTTTATGACTTGCCTTATGTATAGCTATCCTCTTCAGATAAGGAATGTCTTACTGAGCTGTTATCTGTCTCCTGCAACAATATATGGTGCTTAATGATTTAGAAAAAAAAAATATGAACTTCAAGTATGCCACACTTGCATAGAATGTTACCAAAGGTGATTTGATGTGTTGTAATGCCTTTACCCTGCCTATTTACTCCACCTGCCCCATAGTTTTGTATATAATTCACTGTCATGTCTCTATTCGAGCACAAAATGCTTATTGTTTGGACTCTGGGCAGCCCAGCCATTCTTGTCATTGTTGGCACAATCAGAAAGACCATTCTCGGCATGTGACACCAAAGTACACATTTCAAGAGCGAGTGAAATTTTGGGCAAGATACTATTTCAGAGTGTTACAGATTCCGTTCTTGCAGGGGGCCACAAAATGTGGCACAGCGTGCATATGCAGAATGCTAGGTATATTTTTCTTCCCATAGAAGTCATGTACATTGTACTAGAAATTGTGACATTGCTTAGGGTGGGTTTTAGCCAGTGGTGTAGGTAGTGTAGGGCTGACAACTAAGAAAATAAAACTGACTTCTTAATTTGACGTGGTGTAGATTACTTTGAAAGAGCAGCAATATCAAGCAGCTATGGAAATTATTGATCTATTGAAGTGCTAGTTGCTCCCATTTGTTGAACAAGTAGCCTGAAATTAATGAATAAGTGGGGGGACAAAACACTTTCCTGGCAATATCCACTTTAAAACATGTGTACAGGGTCATTCACTATTTAGTTTTGTTTTCTTTATGAAGTCCCTGTTAAACATTTAATATATTTATATTTTTAGGTCAAGGTTGGGTTGCCAAATCTGCCTACAGAAATGGATGAACGGAATGACTGTCAAAGTGCCAGAGGCTGTTGCAGATGTCAGGCAGACAGTGGACATGGGCAAGAGTTAATGAAACCGGTTATAGCGTGGAATGACCTCTAAAACATTGACTTTTTTTTTTTTTATAATAAATAATATCTTAATCTTATTTTTTAATTTCACCATATATCACATAATCTGTTTTGTTTGTTTTTCAGTTTGACGCAATGTAATCTGTGCATATGTCCCCATGATTTTATGTAATGCCGATTGCTGACCTCATAGTGCCTTTACATGAGCCTGAATAGATGTATCTAATAATGGACAGACTGCACTGCAGAAAGAGTCTGAAACGATTACCTATAATAACCTATTAGTGGAGCAAGCGCTTTACAGATATGATGAGACCTAATTTCTAGATCTGGCTACGTCCGTTACAGTACATACACAGCTCGCTGCTGCTATTAGCATTGCCACTAGGTGGTGGACACGTACTGTGCATTGCATTAGTAAAAGGGTAATCTGCAGTCACTGTACGTATTTAATTTTAGATAGAAGCTTCCCTTTTGGGGACTCGACACTCAGTCATCTTGTATCCATGTTTATGATGCTATCATAAGCAATTCAAATGTTTTTAATTCATTTTTAAAGTTTGTATTTAGTTGCTGCACAAAGTTTTATAGGGGATTATTTAAAAAAAAAAAAAACCCGAGTTGGAAAGAATTGACAACATTATGCAATTATCCAATATTTGTCAAAATTGAAAACAATGTGCAAATACTGTTACTTGGCTATTTTGGGCCTAAATTTGCTATACCCTTAAATTTCTGTTTTAGCAAAATAGACCAGACTTTTTTTAAATTTGACTGTTTCAGTTGTTTACACATTGTCAGTATGTTGTCTCTGGTTACAATTCTCATATTTTAGCTCCTTTAGAGCGCATGTAACATTAGATTTGATTATAGTAATGTATTAAATTCATTTTAAACAATTTTTTTGTTTAAAAAATATATAAATGTCTCTTCCTACTTTTTGTTAAGTTGTGTGTGTTTACATATGTGTTCTCTTGAGATGTCAAAGAGTAAGTCTCAAATTAATAATTAAACTTGATCCGTCTCTTGGAATTGGCAGAAGGAGAAAAGAGGACTACACAGACTAGAAAATACTATCATAAAAAAAGTTTAATGAACATTGTGTCATTTGAAATTTTGAGGGAGCTAGCTTCCGGCAAAGCAGAGCAACTACATGGTATTCAAGCGACTTGTCTTCCTTAGTGAGTGACACCAAACTCACACCTGAGTGCTCCATATGGTAATTGTGACTGTGGTATTGGCAAAAACACCAAAGAGCCATACATTTTTCTGCCAAAGGCAAAAAGAAAAAGGTAGGCCTGACCAAGATGGCAGATGCACAAAATCAACCTCATTCCACATTCACCCAATGTACATGCTAGACCAGCTTCTTTTCAAAGGTAACCATTTTGGCCAACACCCCAAAATACCATCTGCTTTCTTTTACCCCCCCCCCCGACCTCACCACTCCAAAAAAAGTAGAAACAAAAAGATTAAAAAGGTTTTCCATGTTTGTATAATAGACACTGGTCAGTACTCCAGCTCCTCATATCTGCATGGGTTATTGTAAATACTTCTGTTAAATCTTAAGTTTGGTTGAAAGTTTGTTACGTTGAGGTCATGGGGCTTTATATACCATCATATATAGGTAAACCTTTAGGTCTAAGTATAGGCTTGGCGATCTAGAGGTGGGCAGTATTTTCTTGATCTGGGAGATGGTTTTATTAACGTATGTGTTATTCTTCAATGGCTCTCTTACTGTCTACCACTTTTAATGTTCTTGCCCTAATTGTAAAAGACCCTAGCAATAAACAGAGATTGGCTCTACAACAATTTTAGACATCGCAGGCAGCGTTTGCATGCCTGCAAGAAACTCCTTTCTGTGTACATAAATCACCTAGCTTAAAGTCCCACAAATTCCCTGTAGCATATCATGCCCCAAACAAATTAAAAGGAATACTATGTTCCATTCTGATTGTATTTTAAAATGACATTGAATACAAAGGCAGAAAAGGTAGATTGCTCATTATGGTGGGTTACCTTAACAATGCTAATGGAACTATAGTGAACTTATACATCCCTAATGTAGATCCGATGAGTTTTCTGTGGGAAGCTTTTCGGAAAATTGATCAAATAAAGGCGGGTAGTCTGTAGTGATTTGCAGTGGCCCAGCATTGGACCTTTTTGAGAATGATAGACCATCAGCTAGGAAGGACATTGAGTACCAGATACTAAGACCTGACCCATTACCATGGTCTTAGTGATACATTGAGTTCGCTGTAGCCTGTGACTCGAGACTACTTTTTTTTTTTTCTCAAGTGATCCTATTAATTATTACAGAATAGACCTGTCTAATAGATGCTGATCTAGCCCACCCCCCTCACTTGGTCAGGCCATGCACCTATGTGTTACATATTTGCCACCATGTAAGGGTGATGTGATGCCTCAATGAGGCCCTTCTCGACCACCCGGGAGCAGTGTGGGAGATGGGGTAATAAATATTTCTTTAGAGATAATCTGACACCTCAGTAGCCACTACATAGCTGGTGCATAAGACAACTAGGAGGACAAAGGAGAGAGCAGTTGCATGGGACCCTAGTTACGATAGAGGCCAAGCATAAAAGTAGCTCAACCAAGCAAATGACAGCAGAGCTTCTAAAGTTGAAGAGAAGGTTGCAATAGCTCAACTTACAAGTTACTGAATGACGTGACAATTGAAACACAAATGCTACTCACAGGGGAATAGAGCAGAGAAGCTTCTGGCCTCACAGCTGAACAAAATATTTTTACAATCTAAAATGCCATATTTATTGAAAGGGGAAGAGAACAAAATAGTAAATCACATAGTGGAGAAATTTGGTTCCTTTTACGAAAAATTGTATAATTTAAGCTCTGATCGGTCTGTGATTCAGCCAACTGTCGGTACAATCAATGGTTTTTAAATGACATATCGCTCCCACATTTAACCACCAAACAGGACTAGTCCTTCGGTAAACCCTTTACAGAAGGAGAGGTGATGAAGGCAAGTAAATCTACCTCTAAACATAAAGCCCAGGTCCAGATGGGTTCTCAATTTTAAATATGCGAGTCTACAGGCACCACACTTCACTAAGCATTCCATTCATATGTTGGATACAGACATCATACACACCTAAAAGTTGGTGGCTGTTATCACACTTCCAAAACCGGGCAAACGCCCACGAATTGTGCAAATTTCCACTCTATCTCACTCTTAAATGCAGAAATGAAGATATTTGCTAGACTGAAACCTCTCTTGCCATATTTTGATTGTATCGAAATTTAAAACACAATGATGTGTTTTCCATAGAGAATCTATCTGAAAATTTTCAACTGACTGTGTTGGTGGTTTGATATCTTATCAGAATTGACGGTATTTGCATGTTGTCTGCTGCTAGTTTAGTAGGCGAATACATGGCACCAAATGACTCGTATTAGTGGTGACCTGAACCCACTGCCTAATGCCTCCACATTCTGCTTTCTTCTTCCCACCGTTTACCAGTTAAATATGAGATTGGCTGTCGACTTGATATTAACAGTGGCCACTAGAGTGCGATCTTGGCCCAGTTATCACAGTGTTGTACATCAGACCTAAACTAATGCAAAGGTTTCATGATTTAGTAGTTTGCTTAAAAGGGACACATCTGGCTGCAGTTGGTATTTTTTTTATTATAGCATTAATACATTAAGAGTAATAAAATGAGATACCTTAGCAGTTCTTGTAGTTATTCAAAATAGCAATTTATAGTATCAACTTATTCCTCAGTAGTTTCTGCTGTGAACACTCGCCAAACCTGGAAGTGACTCAGCCAGGCTTGATGCTTAACATTCTATAGAGCTTATCACACAGTGTGATATGGGCACAACAAGGGTTTCCATTAGTGTAGGAAGAGTGTCCACCTTCCATCATGATACAGCAGCTATCAAAAAGGAACCATGGTGAAACTGAACTCCTCCCGCCCCTCAAATGTGGGTGTGTACAAATAATACTATCCTTATAATACAAATCACATTTAATATATATTTTTAAGAAACATGTAATATTAATATTTAGTTCAATAATTGTAGCATATTTGGACATTATGTTAACTTATGTGGATACTGTAACAGTTTTGAATACTCATCAAATATGTCCACATATATTGATACTATTCAATGATCAGCTTAACTGGGGAATAGAAAAAGCAGATCTCTACCATACCCACCATTAATACATATGTCCATACGCTATCACCCTATTGTCCCTTTTCTAACTCACAGGTCTAATTATTTAATTGAACCTGTGGTAACATTTGCATTCATTTTGTTGTGTGCTCTCACAATTATTGATATAGTGATATAAAACTAGTCCCATAGAAATGGCAGCTAACTGTATTGCAACCAAAACAAACATTTTTAATTATTTTGTTTATTTAGAAAAAATACTATATATATATATATATATATATATATATATATATATATAAAGCATGGAGGCGCTGAACATTACTCATAGAGATACGTTTTTAAAAAATGCATCTCTATGAGGAGATGCTGTCTGGCGCAGCATGGCATTTTGCCACGCATGCACAATAGCCTTCCAATGCATTCCTGTGGGAAAGCATTGGATTGGCTGAGATGGTCAGTTTTCATAATCTCAGCCAAGGAGGTGGATCGGGGGCGGAGCCAGCTGCGGTGTACCAGTACTGCGTTTGAATAAAGGTACATTTTATATCTTCTGAAAAAGTGCCAAGGGGAACTGGGGACCTAAACTGCGTTCATAACACTTTAGTGACAGGAATACACGTTTGATTCCTGTCACTATAGTGTTCCTTTAAGGATTGTTAGAGGAAATTAATCTATTCTCAGGTTTCTGAAGCCATTTAGAAAACAATTTAGCTTTGGTCCTTGTATGTTTTAAAGACTTTTTTTTTTGTTTATATTTTTCCTACATTTCTGGTCAACTTTAATCGATCCTAAACATTTGCATTTGTATATGTAATATTTGAGCGGGAAATGAATAGAATTATCAATTCTTTACAACTTGTTTTTATGAATTAATCTATTCATTTTAATCTATTAATTATTTTTGTTATTTTAGAGCAAAGAAGCTTTGCTTTTTTACTTCTAATGCAAAATGTATAATTTTAATACCATTGAATACTAGTATAAAGATACAATTTTAGAACGGGCACAAAAGCCCGTACAAACATGATTGTAATTGTAATAGAACTAGAGTCACAAGTTTTCTGCTGAAAATTTGATTAGCATGGTTCTATAAGTCACATGGACAGTAGCTTTCTGTACCACGAAATTGTCAACAACCAAAAAGAGAAGATGAAAAAGATGACTCAGTTTAATTGAAGTACTTGGTGTTATTTTAGGACACAGATCAAAGGATTCTTGCTGTCTTCCGCTAGGGTCAGGTTTCTGTCATTTAAAAAAGAAAGGAAAAAAAATATAAATAATATTTTATTTTTATTCCAACTCGTGCTGTTGAATTATATTATAAAATGTCTGACATAATTTGAGAAGCCATGTTCACGTATAGACTGTAGATCTAGGGTGTCTAATCGTAGCTCCCAGATATTTTTGTACTAACACAGTCTACTTTTTGCAGCTCAGTCTGCCTTCTGTGAGATCATAAAGAAGCATTGTGGACCTGCACATGCGCAGCACACCACACTCTGCCAACACAATGTTTCTTATAGAGAAGTCCACTGGGATTTTTAGCAAGCTCTATATAAATGTAAACTTTTGCTACACATTTTGGCAGAGACATAAATGTGACTGGAGAATCATGAAGCTCTGATGACGTGTTGTGTATAGAAGTTCTGTTGCAATAAGTGTAAGGTTACATACCTGCTCTGCATTATTCAATATTGTTTACCGAGATTAGGTAATGAGGGACCGCCACTGTCATTGAAATGACTGTTCTTCAGCGCAGAGCACTAAGGGCATGACATGGAAT